CTGGACACACACTCTGAGCCCCAGCAGAGAGGCTCTTGGGCCTGAGCATCTAGGGCATCTGATCCTCTTCTCTGATCGGCTTCTAGGGCACTAAAGAATGTGCTTGTGGCATTTACAACAGCAACACAGCTGGACAAGCCTGCTGTCCCAGTGCTGTGGAAAGGGACATGAGTTGTCACCAAGACAGACTCCAGTGGGGAGTTACAGGTACACTGATGGAAGTAAACCTGGAAAATAATGTTGGGCAGGTAACGAACACACAGGCTGAGTGCTCTCCCACACTCCCACGTGGGCACAGTACACACAGATGCACATGGGCTGGATGTGGGGGGCAGGGGGAGAGCACACGGCTGGCACCCGTCACTCTCTGGGGTCTGCAGACAGCAGGAACACTGCCCAGGAAGCCACGGTGCAGAACCCAGTCATGATGAGCAGGATTATGAGGGTCGAAAAAAGACACATGTGCAAGAAGAGCACTAGTGACAGGGCTGATATTTCATTCTTGTAAGGGCTGTCATGTGAGTTATGGGACACTGATCACCATCCCTGATTTCTACCCATGCTGTAACCCTCACTTAGGACCCACACCATGAATACAACAGAGCAGATGTTTTCTGGTGTGCACAATCAGCACCCTGAAAACCACCCACTTAGCAGGCACAGTGTACACACAAGCTCTGAATAACAAGATACCCAAAATGGGCAAAGACCATAAGAACTGCCACGTTTCTCTGCACCCAAGGCAAAGCATTCTGGGAGAGGAACTGCGGACACAGCTATAAGCAATCCAGGATAGAAAGGCAGATTTTGGTCCAAGTTTAAAGCAGTTGGAAGGCTTCTCAAAATCAGCATAAATCAGAGGTAGGAATCAAGTGTTTTCCATCTAACATTCCACATGCTTGTGGTCTTGTGTTAAACTTTTCAGCTCAGTATCTTTACCGGAATGTTCTACTCATTCTTCTTTTATTCTTTCTTTGTGCTTTTTTGTTGTTGTTTTGGTTTTTTTGTCTTTTTGAGACTCAGTTTCACGATGGAGTTTACGCTGGACTTACGCTTTACTTTGTAGGCCAGGCTGGCCCCAACTTCACACCAAGCTTTCTGCCTCAGCCTCCCCAGTTCTGGCATTACAGGTATGTGCCACCATGCCCAGATTTACTCCCTTTCAGTGGTGACATAAGAATACGACTAATTTAGGGGACCTCACTGTAGTACCAAATAGAACAAAGTAAAGCAAATGAAAACTCCAAGTGAAAACTCCACAGACCACTGTTCCTGTTCCCAAACTCACACCCTTCTCGTGCCTTGCTGGCTTTGTACAAGATGAGTAAGACAGCATTCAAAAGAGGAAATGATCCTATGAATGCACTGTTCTAAATGGACTCCATACAGAGTTGAAGAAATGAGTCCACAGATACTGAGTTAGAAAACTATACTGTGATCAACCCAAAGAAAGGTGAAAATAAAATGTATTGAAAATGCACACAATATCCCTGATTAATCAAACATCACTGTCAAACCTTTAAACCTGCTCAACACATACTCCTTCATTTTTATTTAGGAATATTTATGTGACAGAGACAAATCCAAGATAAAATATCACATAGCTTATGTACAGTATGGAGTACAGTGCAGTGTAATCACTGGCTGTTCACCTAAGCAGCTAGATTCATGGTGTGCACCACCAGGCCTCACTGATGTTCACTCTCCTGGCACTGAAATCTCAGGAAATCACTGGGATTAAAGAATCGTAACCTTAAAACAGGTAAATGTCACACGTCTGTCTTCCTAGCAGTGAGGGAGGAGGACACAGTATCAAAAGTCCCCCCCACAGCCTGGGAAACTGGGTAAGACCAGGTCTCAAAAGTTAAAATATATGGGGCTGTGTAGCTCAAAGCCAAATTCCTGCATTCAGTCCCCAATAAAATCTTCAAACACACGTTGTAATCTTTGTATTCAAGAGAAACCCCTTTCCATTGTACTTCAATGGTGATGCCCACCCTATTACTAAATCTACAAGTCCAGTTTAATAATTTCAATTTTGCCTCATAAATAATGAAGTGAACTGATCAGGAATAAGAGACGACACAGTCACAGTATTGGTCACAAGGTTCCCCTGCTTTCTTTAGGCTCTGACCTCTGAGCCTCTCAAGGCAGGGCAGCACAAAGTCCAATTATTATCACAATGAGGACAATCCGATCTCAGGAGAAGGTCACTGCTGCCACTGCTGATGTCACCTCCCTCATCCAAACTCTGGTCCCTCATTGCCTTTTTCCTCCCCTTGGCTCCTCCATATTAAATGGCTCCTCCATTTATTCCTATTATTATTAGGCCTGTAGGTACTCAGACTAGGGATTTTCCTCTGTTTCGGTGCTTGTTTTATACACAGCACCTCTTAATCAACATTTCAATTTTAAACCAGTGTGTACAAGGATGACAGCAATGATTTCAGTGATGACAGCCCTTGTCCTCCCTCCACGGCCAGTGTCACATGTCCCTGTCCACACAGATGCCTCCGTTCAAGGTGTTTCTCAGTTTGGGTTTAACATGCAGCACTTTCAGAAAGTCGTCCTTAGCAAGAACTCTTTCTCCTTTCTTGATATTGCACAGGATTTCTCTGGTTTCACAAACAGGACAAAAGAAAATAAACTTTCAAAAGTGTCTTGAAGAGATGAATTTTCCTTTAGCAGCAGACAGCACAGACTGCAAATTACTAGGAGGCAAGCTGCGCAAGCCATCCTTCCTCCCTGGTGCACACTGTCATCACAGCTTGGAGAAAGCAGATCTCATTATCCAACCAACTGGTTACACTAATGAGGTCATGGCTCCTGGGCAGAGTAAATTCTGCCACTTTGAAAGCCCTCTACTGCAAAGTTTTATAGCAGGTCATCAACTTTCTTTCAATATTTGCAGGAATAGTCAATAAAGCACATGCACAGTTTATTTTAAAAAATGGCTTTGCAAAAATAACAATGTTTATAAAATTGAGTTATTTGCTTTGGCACAAAAGACTACCTCTTTCCTCACTAGTAATGCATTAATATACCCACCATCTTCCTCAGAGTTCTAAACTCTCTGGAAGGCCTTGTTTAAAGAGTCTGATTGTGAAGGATAGTTTGTTTTGTGATCTTATGAAGGCGGCACAGAGCTGTGGTAAATGGCCTGGGGTAGAGTTGTGTAATCAGCTATACAGATAACAATTAAAATAACAGGAAGCCAAATACAGATAGAATATCAAGATTCAACTTCCTCAAGAAAGGGAATGCAGCCTTCCTCTACTGCAAGGAGTTGCAGCCACTCTTTACCAAGCTCCCCAGTTTCCAGGAAACTCAAAATAACTACTTTTTCTCTAAAATCCCACTTCCCTTTAAATCTTACACAGTAAAAAAACTGGCTTGAGCACCTGAGTTTCAATAGTGATTTTCAATACAGTCACCTGAGAGAGACAGATATGAAATAACTGAGCAATTACCATGCGCTGGTTATCTCTAATTAGCTCTGGATTGATCAACCACCTGGCCACCAACTCAGGATGCTTCAAGCAGACAGCTTTGTTCATAATTTCAATGAAAACTCTCCTAATGTATGGACAGCTAAGACCCATAGTTGGGGTTAGAGAACATACTGAGCCCCCTAAGAAGTAGACATACAGCCTCTGTGTCACAGCAAACAGTCATACTGATGGAATGCCATTTCACACTTGTATCTGGGTAGCTACAGCTCCTTTAAGCTCCCTTTCAGCAAGGTCACTTCCCCAAAAGGAGTTGCTAAGCTAGTGCTGGACAATTCCCCTGTAGCCCACCAAACACAGCGCTCTACCAACACGTCCAATAACCAATCATACAGTGTCCATTGCAGGGGATTCAGATGATGCCCTCACCCTATAGCACAAGACACCATCCACAATTCGTTGCTAACTCAACTCTCAGTGTCCCCATTTCTCTCCCAGAGTGGCTTTCGAGCATTTCTCGCAATACCCTCAATACAGTTTTCCTTGGCGCTGGTCTTCCCTGACTGCTTTTCCTCTTTCTGTCAGAGAGCTTACAAGCCCAGCAAAGTTGAATCTGGAGACCCAGACACATGGGCACCAGAGGTAACATCAACAGCCTTTCTCAGGTTCAGCACTTCACTCTAGTGTAGAAACGATATAATTCTGTTTTATAGCATTGTCCATACCGATCTCACATAAATAACTAAGGTGATAGTTTTTGTATTGCTAAGTGTGCCACTCAGGAGTTCACCGCATTTATGGGAAACCTGTATACCAAGTCACGTCACCGGTATGTTTAAACTTGTTTTGCATTCTCGTTGCCCTTCTCAACCTCTATTATGAGGTTGGCAATGTGGAGAAATATTAGAAACTCAGGAAGCCACCGTGAATAGAAAAGGGCAGAGGTCTGAGAGGAGGTGTGGATCTGAGACCCTCACGCAGCCATTTATAACAGTCACATCCCCAGCTCTGCTACTGAAAGCACCGAGACCAGGGACCCAGCGCCCGCAGCCGCACCAGCTCCAGGCCGCCCTGAACCAGGGCCGCCCCGAGCCCCGCTCTCCCCACACCGCTGAGGCGCTGCTGGGCCACACCGGACGGCACCGTGGGCGGGCAGTGTCACGGTGGGGACGGACTCACGGACACGGCGGTGACCCGGACCCCGCCGAGGGAAAAGTGGCAAAAGCCCCAGAGCCCGGAGGACCTCGGGGTCCGGAGCTCGGCGGGAGGCTGCGGCTCCCAGAGCCGGTTCTAGCCGCCTCCTCTCAGACCTCAGCCCGACCCCCTCCCTTCCCCGGCTTCCGTCCCGCACCATCACCACAGCGCGGCTTCCCGGTGTCCCCGAGTCCTTCCCACGCGGCCTGCAGCCCGCAGAAATCCCAGAAGCCGGGCTAGCTAGCTGAGGGACTCTCCACACTGAGAGCCATGACACCGGAAGTCCTTGCCACTTTGCCTCACTTGATTGGACAGTTCGTGCAGCCCGCCTCTTCACTGATTGGCTCCTGATCTACTGCCCTCCCTCTGTTCAGAATGAGGAGAACGTAAATTCCTGCCTGTCTGGTTAGAGCTCAAATGATAGATTCTCACCCAGGAGCTTTTCGGTAAGGTTGTTTCTTCTTCTTTTTTTTTTTTTTTTTGGCTTTTTTCATTTTTATCGGTACCAGGGATCGAACTCACCACTGCCTGCTTTCAAGGCAGGCGCTTATGCCGCTGAGCTAAATCCCCAGCCCAAAGGCTGTTTCTTCTGATGTCTATCTCACCTAGCTTAACACAATTGCATTTACAGTGTACACGTCTCTTGCTTCAGCTACCAGTGTTTGGTTAATAGACTTAATGTGCTTTTAATAAAGTGCAGTCACTAGTGTGCTAAGAAGATTCCTATGGTGAGGGTCCTATGGAAGAATAAAATTCCCTGATGTAGGAGAGCATCATGAGTGCAGGACAGGTCAGGATCGAATGGAGTAGAGGCAGGGTTGGCTGATTCGCAGGTCAATATTTGGCTGTGATGATTTTCACACTGTCTCAATCCACTTTCATTGAAGAAAATTAGTATAGGCCTGTAAAATGAATACATTTATTATGTAGATGAAGAAACGATAGTTAAATGATAGCGATGTTCTGCAAAAGATTAAAGATAAAAGGAAAGCAAATGTTCCAATTCCCTTAAACAAGTTTCATACCTCATCCAGAGTTATGACAATCCCAGAATATTGAAGCTAAGCATATTGCCAGGCATGAGGACAACAGTGCTGAAAGGGACCCAAGTCTTGGTCCAGTGGGTCACTTCTTGGTGAAGACCTCAGACTGTAGCTTTGCATGCCCACCACTTTCCTCTTCGAATATTGAATTCCTCCACATTTCATCACTAGTTTTCCTAGAAGAAATTACTGTGTACCAATACTATGATACTTTTGTTATAATTGGATTGACCTGAGTGATGTACAGGATACTTGTAAAGCACACTTCTAGATGTCTGGGGAAGTCATGTTAATGTCACCTGATGGACAAATCCCTCTGCTGGACCCTTTGGGGCTACATCCCTACTATCTGTTTTCGGGATCTTATACACTAGTTACATTTTTCTTCACTTATATTTGCTATGATGTTTCTTCATGGGAAGATATGAAACTGACACTGCAATCTTTGACACAATGAGATATTTTTAATTTTTTCCTTTGTGGCCCTGGAGATCAAAGGCAAGGCCTTTTCTATGCTAGGTAAGTGCTTTTCCACTGAGCCAGCCACACAGCCCCAACTCTACAACTGCATTATTTTTTGTTAAGGTTTGCCAGTATTTTGATAGTGGTGTTTAGTGCATGTTCTCAAAAAGAGTGTCTCATTATATAGTCCAGGCAAGCCTCAAACATACTCTTCTCCTCTTACAGACACTCAGACATCAAGGAACCTTGACAAGGCTTTTACTTTTGCTAAAGGGTGGAAGCAGACCCTAGCAATAACATAGCAGATGTACAGACTCGCTGGAGAAACAGGATTTCTGAGGCCTCGTGTTTGACAAGTGGCTACCTTTAAATTCATTGGCTAAGTTCAAAGGCTTGCAATCTATTGTACTGATAACTCAGTGGTACAAGAGAATGGGTACAAGAGAATGCTGGGTCAGTTAGAAACAGGACCATAGTTTGGAAGGGAAAGTTCTCAGGTTTTAATCTCAGAAACTGGTGCATTCTGGGGAAAAGGACACAGTCACATGCCAGTAGGCACTTGAACAACAGTGTACTTGATAAACCCAGATGCCAACGTTAAGGGTATTTCCCCATCTGAGCCTCTTCTTCCAAGCCCTCTGTCAATCTAAATCTATTTACTGACAGACAGGAAGCTCTTTGAAAAGGGCCCCATTTTTCTCAGCAGCTCTCTCAGTTCATTCCTAGAGATTAGCAGATAAGTAGATGAATTTGTTAACTGCCCACATTTGGGACCTGTATTATTATTGTGTGGCTTAAGGTTGCTAACTCTTCAGGGACAGGATTGGGTCAGGGTTCCTTGCTTGGATCAGGCACAGCATGATGTCCAAAGGGACAGGCTATCAATGCTTGTTGCCATTGATGTGATTGTGTGGGAGGCAGATACCCACCTCTTGCTCTGAATTCCTTTCCTGTGTCTGTGAATCCTGAGTGAACAGAAAGCCATAATGCTGCCTTTGCTCACTCCAATTCAAGGCCCATTTACTGGTGCCAGATGTGGCTGCTATCGACCTGCAACACAATGGACAATGTCCAGTACTGAGAATGGGTTTGCAGGCAGCCATAAACCCAGGGCTTTAGCTCTATTGGTTCCTTAGCGTGAAACAACCTGTCCCATGTAAAAATGAAGCCAGTGGCTTTTCATCCTTTTAACCCAAGGTCAAGATGAACCCCAAGAAGTCAGAAGGGGGGCACAAAAAAACTGGACTCCATCAATAGGAGCTGCCAGAAGACAGGGAAAAAGGAAGACTCTTTCCTCCTATTATGAATGCTTATACTTCACACAGCTTATTTTAAACTTCAGCACTCAGAGTTAATTCAGCTCCTTGCCTGCGTCAGACCCCAGCACCCAGGTGTACAGGTCTTCTCTGTACTTCTTCAGACATACCTTGTTTGTGCCTAAGCCAGTCTGCTCTAAATGGACCCTGGTCGGTGAATCAGGCAGAAACTAAAAACAGCAACTGGACAGTGTGAAGAGACACAGGCAGATACACCTCGGGATTGCCTAGACTCCTCCTGTGCCCTTGGCACCGATCTTGCTTTCATGGTCAGAAATTCCCAATTCCCTCCCTTAGCTTGGAGGTGCCATACTCCACAGTTCAGTCCCCAAGGTCACAATGCACCTGCTCAGCCCACTTACTGTGCCCGCTGATTATACAGGCTGAGACTATCACCGTCCCTCTTCCCCAGACTAGCCAAGGCTTCTGCTCACGGGAGAACTGGTGAGCAGTAGGACTGGGACTGCAAGGGAAGATTATTAAGCTGCTCTGCACTCTCTTTAGGGACTGCTAGCACATTAAAGTACATATTGGAAAATACACACAAGTAACACTAGCAGAAAAGCAGGATATCAATTTGTCAGGGTGAACTGTTTTGTTTAATTTTGTTTTGATGCTAGTGAGCTCAAACATGGAAAACAACCCATCAGTGAAATAAACAAGTCCTTTACACTGAAACTACAAGTATCAGAACATCACTAACCGACTAATTGAGAGAAGATTTTGTTTTGTGAGGACCAAGATGGCAAAGGATACTGGAGGGTGTGTAGTAGACAGTGCAAGCTAGAGCTTTTGGAGCTTTATGCCAGCAGGACTCCGTATCTCCTCCTTTCTACATGGAAGTTTGGAAAGTAGAGATTTCCTTCTGCTAGGAAGCAAAGCTGACAGGCACATTCAGAGCAACGCTTGAGGTTCCCAAGATTCAAGGGGAAAGACAGCAAGAGGATGGGAAAATAAAGAAAAAAGATGGAAGTTGGTGTCAGATGAAGCCCTCTCTCCTGATGGGAGGAAAAAAAGCAATTCAAACAGTGCAGTGTGCTTGTTTATATACTTCAAGGTTGATGTTATTTTCACCTCTGCTGCTTTGGTTGTATGAATTTCCTGAGTACCCTGTGTACTTGAAGGTGAAACAGCTTGTTTACTTGAAGCTGGAACCACTTATTTCATTGGCTCACCTCAGGCTCTCATGTTCTCATGGCTGGCCTTGCTTCAACTGTGCCCACATAATCAATCTCCAGCTCTAGCTGTTCCCCACGTCTCCTGTTTTTCTGTTTTGTAGTGGCAAGCAATCACTGGTCAGCTGGAGTTGGAAGATCTGGGTTTGAAGGACTTGTAGATGACCTTCATTCTTGAACACTTTCCATTCTGAGGAACTTACTCATTTAGGCTAAAGATTTCCAGTCCAAGGATTTTTAAGCCCATGCACTCAGCAATTTAACCGTGTATAGTCTATTAATCCATAACAGTAGTCAGTTACCAGAATAGCTAGAAAGTGTGAGAAGGTGTTAGTGATTCCAGTTTCTTTTATAGCTAACATATTGCTATAACACAATTGTTTTACACATTTTTTGGCTATATTTTACTGCAGGATGTTCACAATCAAGTAAAGATGAGACCTATATTAATTACCAACAGTTTCTTTCTATCTATGAAAATCAGTTCAGTCATGAATACATCCATTACCAAAACAATAACAATAATCCACTACCAAAAACAATAACAATCAATTGTCATAGCCATATGAAAACCTTTGTTCCAGAGCGTCTTTAAATAAAAAACCTTATTGTCTAGAAAAGATGATGAGCCGTGTAAACATGTTACAATAATATATTTTAATAGCATTTATTGCAGCATCTCCCATAAGGCTATCAAGACTATTGGGACATCCTATTACTGAACAATAACTGAATAATATTTCCAGGGAGGTTCTTTCTTATTCGGCAATTGGAGATTTTTTTTTTAATCCTACAGCACCCAGTATTCCCAGGTAGTCTAGCAATTGGAGTTTTACCCAATAAGTTTTCCCTACACTAAGTGATTTTTGTTTATGTATATTAATTAATGACTTTCTGATTTATAAAAACTCAGTCACAACATGTAACATTATTTTTGAACAATGAGAGACTCTCAAGTCATAATACATAAACAGCAATATGTACTACGTGTATGCAAACAATTTAAGAGTCATTTTGACAGCCTGGCAACCTGGAAAGAAGCATGATTTTAAATTTATAAAGAGAATTACAGTATCTACAAAAGATTAAAAAATGCAAAATATAAAGGAAAACAGAAAAAATGGTGGAATTCAAATAAAAAACAACTTAATTTACTGGAGAAATGATGAAACAAACAAGTGCACAGTTTAGCAGCCTGGACAGACAGACAACAACTTGCAAAATCAGAATGACCAAATTCCGTTATAAATTTTTACAATTTTAGAAGTTTAAAACAATAAACAGATTAGTCAGGTTTTGTTGTAGATCAATTAGCAGACCTCTCTTAAGAATTTGGAAGAAACAAAATATTTTATCTATAATCAATATATATTTTTTGTACATGGTATTGTCTTAAGACCACTAGTACCTTTTGTGTCTCATTCTTTTGTGGACATTTTAGCTCATCGATCTCCAAGCACCCTGCCACTTACTTAGACCTTTGATTCTCATTTTTGGTTACTATCTCCTGAAATTCTGCCTCAATTCCTTCAGTTGGGCCCATTTTGAGTCTGCACCAAACTTGTATATCTTCAGTACAGCAATCTCCAAGGCATCACTGTCACAGGAAAGAGAATCAGCTTCTTGAAAGGTGGAATCAACTCCTCCAGATATGGGTCCATCATACCGCAGCGTGGCATGCTGTGGTCCCTAGGTAGGGAGCATTGTTCTCTGGAAACACATAAACACCCTTGACCCTGAATTAGTACTAGGCTTTGTTCTTTACATTTTCCTGTAGGAAGATCTTCCCAAAAGACCCGTCCCACCTTTTTTCTTTTCCCTGATTAAATTGGCTTTCTGCTGCTCTAATCCCACCCCTAGTAGGGTTTAAGAACTTAATAAATGGTATATACTGCCAAGTGAAGTTTATTATGAGGTGTAAATTTTGTAAGGAAAGAATCCCCCTTTTATTTTTGTAGTTGAAGTTTCAGTAAAGGGTGAGAACATTCATCAATTCCTTGACCTTGAGGGTTGTAAGGAATTTCCATGGTAAGAGAAATATGAAAACTTTTACAAAATATTTGTAAGGCACCATTTGTGTGGCCTGGACCACTGTCAATCTTAAGTGCCCATGGGTGGCCAAACATATTAAAGGCATCCAAACAATGAGAAATGACATGTTTAACCACTTCCTCCAGTGTCTTTGTTCATGTCACCATATTCAAGGTGTCAGTCATAGGGCTGAGGCTATAGCTCAGTGACAGAGAATTTACATAGCATGGTGAGGCCCTGAGTTCAATCCCCCAGGTCAAGCGGATTGTCAGTCACAGTCCCTGTTGGGAACTTGGTTTTCCCGGGATCCCTTGTTCTACGAGGCAGTTAATGGTTCCTGGAGTCAGCCTCATGGGGTTAGTTTCTATCCTGGTATTGACCCCAATATATTCTATGGTAATTAGCAAATCATTTTTCCTCTCTGAGCTTTAGTGACCTCATCTAAAAATAGAGAATCAGTCTTAGTCTCTAATATCCCACCCAACTCCCATAATATAATGTTTTTGGTGTATGAGCATATAATAAGTGTGTGCATTAAGTTTCATAGAGTTAAAAATAAGACACAAACCATTTATGATGGCACATGCTTGTAATCCCAGCACTTGGGAGATTGAGGCAGGAGGATTTCAGTAAGTTTGAGGTCAAGCTGGTGTATACAATGAGTTAAAAGTCAGTCTCAAATATACAGTTGGGCTCTGTCTCAAAAACAATTAAAAATGACAAAACTGAGGCAGAAGAATTCTGGCAAATTTGAAACTAGCGTAGATTACTGTCATAGTCAGGGATTTCAAGTAGAAAAATTACATACAGGATACATAATTTACTGCATTATTTACAATGGTCACCCAAGGAATCAAATACAAAGAAAGTGCAGGAAATCTGTCCACAGCACTGAAGACCTAGAAAATCTAGCAGGGGGCCTGGATCCCACGGCAATAACTTGTAGGAGTTTAGCTGAAAATCTAAAGCGCATGACAATGACTCCTGCAAGTTTATTTCACAGATCTACACTAGGAAGGCTCAAAAGTCAGTGGTGGAAGCTAGAAAGTCTGTGCTACTGGAGTGAAGGATCTGTGCCAGCAGGCTGAGTGTTCTGAAGCGGAGCTGAGAAGAGACACTCAAGGACCAGTGCTTCTCTGAAAAGTACCACAGCCATTCTCAGTGACAATGAGGTCCTGAGCTCCTCCAACAAGGAGAACAGCTGAGTCCATGTCAGCAAGCCAGTGTGACAGGCTTCTCCTGGAAATTGAACAGCACACATCTTCCCCTCTGGAGCCAGGAAGCAATGCCCACTGTAGGGATCAGAGCTCCCTGAACGTGAACCACTGGCATTCTCAGCAACAATGTCCTGTGCTTCTTTGATGACAACAGGTGAGTTTATATTGGGGAGCCAGCATGACAAGCTCCTCCAGGAGAATCAGTGGCTCCAAAGAACACCACTTAGAATCCACAATGTTACTCTTCTGTGCCAGGTTTTTTTTTTTTTTTTTTTTTTTTTTTATGCTGGCGACAGTCCTCAGGTGGGCCTTGCATGCTCAGCACCATGCTGATTCAGTTCAGCTGGCGGTTAAGTTGACCATCAGTTACCAATCCACTACATCTACATAGTGGGTTCAAGGGCATCCCGAACTTACTGTCTCAAAAAACAAAACAAACAAAAAGACACTATTAAAATACATGTAATTGCAACTCTTGGGAGGCTTAGGAAGGAGTATTGCCATGAGTTATAGGCAAGCCCGGGCTACAATTTGAGGTCAAAGTCAGCTGAACTGCACAGTACCAAAAAACAAATTAAATACTATTTTCCTTCATTAAAAATGTAAAAGTATTAAAAACACATTGAAGAAATTTTAAAAATACATGAAAGTATAAGGATTATAAAAACAATTTCCGCTTGTAAGGCAGACATTGTGATCCATGTCTGTGATCCAGCACTCTTGGAGGCTGAGGCAGGAGAATTAACAGATACACTTTTCCCACTCACACAAACGTTTCAAATCCAGACACACCTGTCACACCCAGAAACATGTTTCCCACCTAGACACGTTTCATACCTAGACACACGTTTCAGCTCTAAACATCCATTTTATATCTGTACACGTTTTATATATATATATACATACACACACACACTTTTATATCTCTACACATTTCACATCTGTACACCTGTGTCATGTCTGTACACGTTTCACATCTAGACACGTTTCACGTACATACACATTTCACCTCTAGACACACGTTTAAAACTACAGACATTTCAGCTCCTGACACACATTTCACATCTATACATGTTTCATCTCTAAACACAAGTTTGACAACCAGACACACCTTTCACCACTGGACAGACTTTCACACTTAGACAGATGTTGTTTCACACCCAGTCACACGTTTCACACCTAGACCCAAGTTTCACACCTGGACACAGGTCTCACTTCCATACACACGTTTCATAACCAGACATGTCTCACATCCATACACACGTTTCACTTCTAGACACACATTTCATATCCATCCATGTGTTTCATATTTAGACACACATTTCAAACTATGTACATTTCACCTCTTGACACACGTTTCACATCTATACACGTTTGACTTTGAGACACATACTTCACATCTATACACGTTTAGCCTCTAGACACAAGATTCACATCCAGACACACGTTTCACACCTAGACACATGTTTCACACCCAGGCACAGGTTTCAATTCCATACACGTTTCACAACCAGACACGTTTCACATCGGTACACACCTTTGACCTCTAGACACACGTTTCACATCCAAACACGTTTCTCACCTAGACACACTTTTCACACATATACGCACGTTTCACACCTAGACACACTTTTCACATCTAGAGTCACGTTTTACACAAAGTTACATGTTTCACCCTGAGAAACATGTTTCCAACCCAGCCACACATTGCACACCCAGACACACGTTTGACGTCCATACACACATTTCACACCCAGACACACGTTTGACACCCATACACACATTTCACACCCAGACACACGTCTGACATCCATACACACATTTCACACCCAGACACACGTTTGACATCCATACACACATTTCACACCCAGACACACGTTTGACATCCATACACACATTTCACACCCAGACACACGTTTGACACCCATACACACATTTCACACCCAGACACACGTTTGACGTCCATACACACATTGCACACCCAGACACACGTCTCACATCCATACACACATTGCACTTCTAGACGCACGTTTCATCTCTAGACACGTTTGAATCTACACATATTTCACCTCCTGACATGTTTCACATCTATACACATTTCAACTTTACACACGTTTCACATTGATACGTTTCACCTCTAGACACAGGTTTCACACCCAGACAAATGTTTCACATCTATTCACATGTTTCACACCCAGACACACGTTTCTCCTCTATATAATCTTACACACACAAGTTGTACTCTTAGATACATGTTTTACATCCTTACACACATTTCATCCCTGGAAAAACATTTTACACCCTTACACACGTTTTAACATAGACACATGTTTCAAATCTATAAACACTTATACACCCACCTTTCACACCTAGACACGTTTCACACATAGACACACGTTTCACATCTATTCAGATGTTTCAGGCATAGAAACATTTTGCACACACACACACGTTACACACCTAGACACAGGTTTCCCCTCTATACAATCGTACACATGTTTCACATTTACATACACGTTTTACACCCAGACACACATTTCATCCCTAGAAAAACATTCCACACCCTTACACACATTTTATCCTAGACTCACGTTTCAACTCTATAAACACTTACACACGTTTTACACCTAGACACACATATCATACCTAGACACCAGTTTCACCTCTCAACACTCATTTTATATCTGTACATGTTTTATACACATACACACAATTTATATCTCTAAATATTTCACATCTATACACACTTTTCATTTCTGTACACGTTTCACCTCTGTGCACACGTTTCATATCTGTACACGCTTCACCTGTAGACACACGTTTCACATCTTTACACGTTTCACCTTTAGATACACGTTTCACGACCATACACATTTCACCTCTAGACACACGTTTCACATCTATGCATGTTTCATCCCTAGACACAGGTTTCACATCTATACGTATTTCACCTGTAGACACACGTTTTACTTCCATACTGACATTTCACACTTTTCACACCTAGACACACGTTTCACATGTATACACACGTTTCAAACCTATAGACAAGTTTCACATTCAAACACAGGTTTGACACATAGACACACGTTTCAAATCCATACACAATTTCACTTCTAGACACACGTTTCTCATCCATAGACATTTCATCTCTTGATACACATTTCACATCTATACACATTTCCCCTCTAGACACACGTTTCACATCTATACGTTTCCCCTCTAGACACACATTTCACATCTATACAAGTTTCACCTCTAGGCACACATTTCACATCCGTACACACAGACAGGTTGAGTAGTATGTCAATAAGGCCTCCCCCAACTTGGAGAAAATTAAAAGGGCTTATGAGACACCCAGTGATACAGTAGGATCTCAGCCAATACAAACACTATAGACAGGGAGACCTGGTGACTTGCAATAACCTGAAGACATAGCAACAGCCAGAACTAAGAGTTGACCTACATCAATACTCCTAGGCTAGTTATCTCAGGAAGAATACAGGACTCACCCAACAGACCCTGCAGAAGAAATTCAGGTGACTGGCTCTCCTCTTCATTGTGTTACCCAGCAATTAGACAAACATCAACCACATAGTAGGGCCCAAAGATTCACACTACCAACAGTTGAGACTATTGGGATTGAAAGACCAACTATTTGCCCAAAAAGTGAAAATGACAAAACAAAAAGGCAAAATACATCTAATACATCAGGTGTCTTAGAGTACAGGTGACATTGAAATAGAGGACTTTAACAGTCATGTCCCAGCATCTCCAAAAGATAGCAAATGAAATAAACAAATTCATGAGGCTATACAGGAAATCAAATTAGGAATAATTTCCTACATAAAAACAACTTTAGTAAAGGAGTTACTCAGCATAGCCAGAGAAGAAATAGATTTTTAAAAATAACAGGAACATGGGGAACTCATTGAAACCCTGAATGAACAATATAGAAAACAAGCAGAATCTATGAAACAAATTTAAAGAGATATTCAAGAAACAAAAAATTCTATTGAAAGCTAGCAAAACCATTTAAATGAAGCTGAGGATAGAATTTCAGACCTTGAGGACAGGATCACAGCTAGTGATCATGAAAGAGTAGAACTTTTACTTTTTCTTAATTTTAACTTAAAGAAGAAAAAAAGCAAAACAGAAAAAGGGGTAACAACAATACACAATTCAAAAAATAAACAATAAGAAATCGCTGGCTGATAAATTACATATTATCCTCAGAAATAGTTGTTAAAGTTAAAGCAGACATTCAAACGGTGAGACTGCAAACAGTTTTGCTCAAAGATCCAAAAAAATCTTAGTAATATGGTTACCAATCCTACACACATAAACATACATGCAGTTAGATCCTTTAGAGTACTTTCTTTTCCTCTTTTTTACAATAGCAATTACACATTTTGGGTTTTATTACTCCTATATCTCTTACTACTTTTTACACTAGAGACATAGTGTGATATTTATAAATATAATTCTTATTTATTTCACTTGTGAGAATAGTCTCAGATTGTCTCCATTTACCTATGAAAGCCTCAAGATCATCTTTTTTGTAACTGCGTAATATTCCATTGCATAAAAATACCACATCTTTTTCATCCAAGAGTAAAACTTTTCAAAACAACAAAGCAGCATGAAATGACAATACAGCAGCTTCAAGATAATGCCAAGAGAAACAATATAAGGCTAATAGGCATTAATGAAGATGCAGGAGTCAACGCAAATGACATAGGTAAACTATTCACAGAAGTAATGGCAGAAAATTTCCCATAAATGGGGAAAATATCTGATATACAGATAAATGAAGGATACAGAATGCCAAACAGTCACAACCAACATAAATCTACACCCAGACATATAATAATTAGAATCCCAGACATACAATATAAAAATGAACATACAATATAAAAACAGAAAAGACATAATTCACCTATCCAGGAAATCCCATCAGAATCACAGCAGACTTTTCAACACAAACCCTCAAGTCAAGATGAGCTTGGAGTGCAGTATTCCAATCCTTGAAAGAAAACAACTTTCAACCCCAGACTGATGTACCCAGAAAACTCTCACTCAAATGTAATGGAAAAACAAATACAAAGACACTCAGACACTTTATACTTGATAAAGGTGCTAAAAACATTCACTGGAAGGACAGTTTCTTTCATAAATGGTGTTAGAAAAATTGGCTCTCCACATGCTGAAGACTGAAGCTAAACCCATGCCTATTACTATGCACAAAGCTAAAGTCTAAATGAATCAAAGATCTAAACACTAAATCTATTGGAAGACAAGATAGGTAGAAAACTTGCAGACATAGGTGTAGGCAGAGAATTCATGAACAAAAAACAAGCTGTACAGGAAATACTTCAAAGAATCAACAGCTAGGATCACATCTTACTAGGTTTTGCACTTCAAAAGAAATCACCCACAAAGTAAAAAGTAAACCCACAGAATGAGAAAGAATTTTAGCCAACAATCCCTCAAAAGATTTATATCCAGAGGATATAAAAATTTGAAAAAAATCAAGCCCCCAAATTCAAAGACTCTTTTCAAAAATAGTCATCTGAGAAGAACACACATTTCACAGATGAAGATGTACAAATGGCAAATAAATACACGAAGAAATGTTCACCATGACTGGTCATTCGAGAAATGCAAATAAAAACAGCACTGAGATTTCATCTCACTTTATAAAGAATGGCTGCCATCAAGATATCAACTAATAAATGTTGGTGAGGCTGTGGGGAAAAAAGAACGCTTCTCCACTGTTGGTAGGAGTATAGATTGGTGCAGCCACTATGGAAATCAATATGGAGATTCCTCAACAACCTGGATTAGAAGTTCCATTCAACCCAGCTATTCCTCTCCTGGGTATTTTTCCAAAAACATTGAAAAGATCAAGCCACAGTGATATATGTGCACCCGTGTTCATTGCAGCGCAATTTGTAATAGCTAAATCTTGGAAACAACCAAAATGCCCATCAACTTCAGATGGATGAAAAAGATGTGGTATTTTTATACAATGGGATATTACTCAGCTATAAAAAGGATGGTCTTGAGGCCTTTATAGGTAAATGTAGGCAACTTGAGACTATCCTCATAAATGAAATAAGTAAGTCTCAAATTTATAAATATCATTGTCTCTGTAATGTAAAAAAATAATGGAAAATGAAAGAGTAATAAGATCTAAATAGATCTAATGTATATTGTAAAAATGAAAGGGAAGGAAAGTGTTCTAAAGATATAACTATACGGACGTTCAAGTGTGTAAGAGAGATGACCATATTACTAAGTTTCCATTAGATCTTTGAATAGAATGCTTTGTACTGTCAATGTCTGAGTATCCACTTTTTATGCTTTGATTTTGTAACTCGAACAACTATTTCTAACAGGACAACATGTACATACCAACTAGTAATTTCTTAATGTTAATATTTTTCTTTGAAATTCTGTATTCTACCCTTTTTTCTGTTTTGTCTTGTTTTATTTGCTTTAAGTAAATAAACAGGATTCCTTTCACATTTATGAAGCAGAATATTTGCAAGAAATTTAACCACCTGACCACCAGAATTGACTAGAAACCACTTTGCCCTGACAGAAATGTCAGCTTTACAAAATGCAGTGAGACAAAGAAACCATATAGAATACTTGTCTATGTAATTTCTATAGAATTCACTTACTGAATATTTCAAAATGGTAAAATTAAGCATATACTGGTAGTGTCACTAAAAGTGAAAACTACACATGGAATAAATTAATAAGCAACAGCACAGTAAATAGGACAGTGTTATCCTTGAGGAAGACACGGATGATTCCTATAGCAATTCTCCTTGACTGTCTTAACTCTTCCCTGGACTCAATTGTAAAATTGTCTGAGGGCTCCTGGGATGTTTATATTTGCTTTATTTGTTAAAACTCACCAAAGCTTTTCTGAGAATAAATTTAATTGCAAAATATATAAATAGTAAATTGCCATGTCAGATCTTGGAAACAACCTAAGTGTCCATCAACTGACGAATGGATAAAAAAGTTGTGGTATTTTTATACAGTGGAGCACTACTCAGCTATAAAAAATGATCACATTGAGATATTTATAAATAAATGGATGCAGCTTGAGACCATACTTATAAGTGAAATAAATCAAACTCACATGTATAAATGCCAAATAGCCTCCCTAGTGTAAGAAATGGTAAGAATACATAAAAGTATGTGGTAATCATGATTCCCCATTATATTGCTTTGAAGTCTTATCATGTTTTCATTCATTAGTGGGAATGGTTTTATTCCAGGTTGTTTGATTTTATTGTCTCTGATGGTATGAACAGCTATTTTGAAGAAAACAAGATATTATAATAGCTAGTGCTGATTTAATATCATCTTGTTTTGAAGTCCTGCCAAGCTTTTGTTCCTCTGTCTCCATCAGTTTATCATGTTGTGTCTTATTGGACTGTATTATATGTGATAGTACAAACACAATTTTTTTGGACAAGGAGATAATATAGTAACCATTGTTCATTTTCTGTTAGTTGGTTCTGAATACCCTGTAATACTTTCATTCTCTTGAATGGTTTTATACTGTTTTGTTATGTTTGATACTATCGTGTATGAAGGTATACTCAAATATTTCAAGGAAAGAGACATTATGGTAGCTACTGTTATGTTGGTTGTCTTGTGGCGAAACACTACATTGCTTAATTGTTCTGTTCTGACCTGTTTTGTTATGTCCTCTTTTAATCTTTTTTTTTAAAATAAAAGTAAAAAAAAAAAAACCCTTAAGTAGTGCTTGCATTCCCACAATATAACATGGGAAAACGAGAGGTAATTTACAGAGTGGGCACAGCTCAAAGCAGTACAGTTGCAAATGTGAGAGCCACAGACACCCTGCATGCAGTGCACAGGCTGTGAAATGGACAACAGGAGGAGAGTCAGGTAGAACATCAGAGAACAAGGCACTCATTCAATCTAACTCACAAATGTATTTTCCACTTGTGCTGCAACATCCTATGTATTCTTGAGAGAAGTGGCTTTCATTTGTGAAAAGTGGTATACAATACCCTGAGAAATATTACTCACATGCTTGCAGACTGCAGTAGATTAGAGCAGAACTCTCAACCACATGTCAAGTGTGTTGAAATACTGCTGACTTGTTTGCTAACTTAATTCTTTATGCATAATTAACTTAGGTTAGGATGAGGTATACTGTTCAGAATATTAGGACTACTTAATGCATTTGTCACTTATGCTTTGACGTAGCATTGTTAGAATGCAAACTCATAATAAATTGTGCAGCTATTAAATTGGAGAAAACAATGCAGGTTGTTTTACAAAGTAAAATTTAATGATTAAAAAATAACTGATATTGTACACACAATATGTTAACGGCTTTGATGAACAAAAAAAACCAGAAAATTTTGCACTTTATATAACCTGTATTTAGGTTGGAATGTGTATAGCTATCTCCTTGGACTATGAAAAACATGGTATTTGCTAATTTATATGTTGTTTGAAAACAGATGTACACTCAAGCACTTGTACAGAAATAACTAGTTATAAAATTATAAAATGTGACATCAAACTTAAAAATTCTTGCTAGAATAGCAGACTGTGTACAGTTAACTTTCAAATACAAGCTAGTGGAAAAATGACAACAGTTAAGAAAAATTCAGTTTTGATTTTAAAAATTCAGTTTTGGAATCATGTTTTCCACAATTACAAAGTTGAAAAAAGGAAGAAAAATAAAACAAAAATAATGTAGAAAATATTGAGCCAACTGTATGTAAGAAGTACAAGTCACTTTACCTGTGGATCTAACAGTGCAAAAGAAAAAATACATAGTTTAAGACACAGTATTAACTCTTGTGGTACTGCTTACAAGAAGCTACAGAGTTATGTGAGCTCAACACATATTCTGTTTTGTTTTATTTTCTTTTAGATAGGTCTTTGCTGTGAATCCCAGGTTGGCCTGGAACTCACCATGATCCTCCTGCCTCAGACACCTGAGTGCTGAGATGGGAGGTATACACCACTACTCCTGACTACATTTGTTTGTTTATTTATTTACAACAGTTATTGTTAAAAGAGAATTTAAAATTATTTCACCCAGAAATGCATTTCAAGTCTGAGCTTAAAATATTTACACTTTAGCATGTATACTCTGCATATGTATTTTCTGGAGAAATAATCTCTCACTTTAATACAACTGATTCTTTTTAGGTTTAAACTGTATGGTAAGTTTTGAAAGGGTCTGGAAAATGAGTTATACCTGAAATCTCTGTGCATTCACATGGTTTTGATAATTTACTCTTGCATGCATAACATATAATTTACACCTTATCATATAAGGTGTAAACCCCTTATATTAATAGTTTGTGACAATACTGTTGTCACATGAATTAAAATGACTACAGATGTTGCCACAAAACACTGATATGAATTTCTCCACTGCAATGCCATGTTTTATGAAAGCAATGTGAAAATAAAGATTTTTCACCTCCTGCATTTATAACAGCACTCATGAAGTTCTACATCTTCTGATGCTATTGTGTTATGGGCATCACACAACTGCTTTCTTACATTATTTAAACTGGGTTTCTTTAGTGAGAGTTCTTCCATGTACTGCAAATTAAAGTGGAAAACTTGAAGGGTTCCCATGTATATAATTTTCCTTATCATGTGAGTTCTTTCATGTATTTCAGTAAAAAAAAAACACATTGAGCACATACGTTCCAAGTCTCTTTATTATGAATTCTTTTTTGTATGTAATAATACTTGTGTGAATTAAAAGGCATTTTATACTTTTTAAAAGAAAATATTCATGTCTAAGTCATACCATATATTTAGTTATTGTAATCTCTCTTCTCAATGCACAGAATAGGGTCAAGGATACAGTTCAGTGGCACAGCACCTGCTTGGCAAGCACCTGGTCTTAAGTTTGATTCCCAGAACAAAACAAACAAACAAACAGCAAACAATGTGTATAACCCTTGCTACACAGAGGCTTTACTGTTTCTACAGACTTTCTCCCAGTGTAACTTATCTCACCCTAACCCTAACTTATCTCATGTATTTGACAGTATCTGTGTACTGAACGTATTCACACACTGCTTACATATGTAGTATTTCAATAGTGTGTTCCTTGATGTCTTTATCAATGACCATGTGAACTGAAAGCTTTACCGCACTACTTACACACATGCATTTATTCCCCAGTGTGAATTCTTTCACCTTTTTGACAAACAAAATGTGTGGTGAGAGTTTTTTTTACACTATTTACATTCATAGGATTTCTGAGTGTGAGTTCTTCATGTTCTTGACAATCTCGGTGTCTTAAAAGCTTTCTCACATGGTTTACGCACATATCGTTTCTTCCCAGTTAGTGTTTGTACATGTTGACAATTTGTGTGATGTGAAAACTTTCCCACGTTTCTGACACACATATGTCCTTGACGAGTATATTATCTGCTGAAAGCTTTCCCACATTGTTTACACATGCAGGGTTCCCCTTAAGTGTGAGTCCTTTCATGTATTTTCCAACCTGCTTTTCTGCTAAAAGACTTCCCACATTGTGTACATATATAGGGTTTCTCCCCAGTGTGAGTCCGTTCATGATTTTTACAAACAGTACTTGTGCTGAAACCTTTCCCACACTGCTTACATACATAAGGTTTCTCCCCTGTGTGAGTTCTTTCATGTACATGACAATTATATTGTCTGCTAAAAGCTTTCCCACATTGGTTACATACATATGTTTTCTCCCCAGTGTGAGTCCGTACATGGGTTTCACAATCTCTGTGTGTGACGTAGGCTTTCCCACATTGTTTACATACATAGGGTTTCTCACCTGTGTGAGTCCTTTCATGTATTTTCCAACCTGACTTTCTGCTGAAAGCTTTCCCACACTGGGTGCAAGCATATGGCTTTTCCCCAGTGTGAGTACGTTCATGAGTTTGACAAATACTACTTGTGCTGAAAGCTCTTCCACACTGCCTACATGAATAGGGTTTCTCACCAGTGTGAATTCTTTCATGTATTTGACGTTTATGGTATGTAATGAAAGCTTTTCCACATTGCTTGCATACATAGGGCTTTTTTCCACTGTGGATCCTTTCATGTTCTTGACAGATACCATTTGTGCTGAAAGCTTTGCCACACTGCTTACATGCATAGGGTTTCTCTCCAGTATGAGTCCGTTCATGCTTTTGACAAACACCACGTGTACTGAAAGCCTTTCCACATTGCTTACATACATAGGGCTTCTCCCCAGTGTGAGTCCGAATATGTGCTTCACAATCTCTGTGTCTTACAAAGGCTTTCCCACATTGCTTACATACGTAGGGTTTCTCCCCGGTGTGAGTCCGTATATGACTTTGGCAAGTTCTGTGTGATTTGAAAGTTTTCCCACACTTCTGACACACATAGGGTTTCTCTCCACTGTGGGTTCTTTCATGTTCTTGACAAGTATCTTGTCTGCTAAAAGCTTTTCCACACTGGTTACATACATAGGGTTTCTCCCCAGTGTGAGTTCGTTCATGATTTTGGCAAACACCACTTGTTCTGAAAGCTTTGCCACAGTGCTTACATGTGTAGGGTTTCTCACCAGTGTGAATTCTTTCATGTATTCGACACTTACGACGTGTGCTAAAAGTTTTCCCACATTGCTTGCATACATAGGGTTTTTCTCCAGTATGAGTCCGTTCATGCATTTGCCAATGATGTTTTCTGCTGAAAGCCTTCCCACACTGACTACATACATATGGTTTCTCCCCAGTATGATTCCTTTCATGAACTTGACAACTATAGTGGGTGCGGAAAGCTTTCCCACATTGGGTACATACATAGGGCTTCTCCCCAGTGTGAGTCCGTTCATGCATTCGGCAATTCTCTTTTCTGCTAAAAGCATTTCCACATTGCTTACATACATAGGGTTTTTCTCCAGTGTGAGTCCGTTCATGTACTTTGTATTTACTGTGTGTGCTGAAGGCTTTGCCACATTGCTTACATAAATGGAGTTTTTCTCCAGTAGGAGTCTGTTCACGAGTTTGACAAACAGCACGTGTGCTGCAAGCTTTCTCACATTGCTTGCATATATATTGTTTCTTCCCAGTGTGAATTTGTTGTTGAGTATGTCTGTGTGTGAGGAAGGTTTTCCCACATTGCTTACATACAAACTGTTTCTCCCCAGTGTGAGTCCGTTCATGCATTTGACTATGATCTTTTCTGCCGAAAGCTTTCCCAATTTGCTTACATACATATGATTTCTCCCCATTGTGAGTTCTTTCATGATTGCTCAATGACTTATAAGTAAAGGATTTTCCAAAGTGTTTACATATATGGGGTTTTCTACCAGAATGAGCTTTATCACATGTCTGACCATCATGGTGAGAATTACAAGCTACTCCCTGCGGTATACATATATATGTGTTCATTTCACCGTGAAATCTGTCCCCAAGTTGAACATCTTTGGGTGTAATACGTGATTTGACATCTGGAATTTTTTCAACGGTACTTTCTTCAGTGCAATCAGAGTAAGATTTTGCACATGATATACATTCACGGCGTTTCTCCCCAGGACTTGTCTCTGTGTGTTTCTGAATGAACTGTAGTTCTGTGCAGGCTCGGCCCTGTTTGTTAGAGTTGGACGGCTCCCTTTGAACTCTCTTCTGCTCCTGTGATTTGTGTTTAGTGGTAGCTATAATGGGCCCATCTCTTGATGAATGAGAAACCAGGGGCCTTCTGGAGGAAATGCTTTCTCTTGGTTTTATACCAACTTTCATGTGCACGTTTGTATCTGAAGTCTGAAAAACAATTTCCCCATGTTGATACCGTAATTTATATTGACAGGACTGCTTTGCTTCTTCACTTCTGTAACAGGAGAGAGCAACAATACAATCAATCACATTTAATAGTGTCTTCTTCATGATGATTCACCACGAAGGGATCTGCTTTGAGCAGCCCCACCCCTGCCAAGATTACTTATATCCACTTACTGTGTACTCTGCACGATGGCTTGGACACAGCTTTTACTCAAACAGTAGGATTAATTTGGGAGCTTACAATCAACCCATTTGCAGTGCACAATACTTACTTTCAGTTTGAGGATTTGGAACACATCTCGAAGAAACATGTTCCATGTATTGATGACTTTGATAGGTTTTTCCTCATGAATCACTCCACTTGCCTCTCACAGAGCCTTTTCACTCTCCAAAAATGTTTCCTGTCTCTTTCCCACCACTTCTCCTCTATGTACTCCTCAGTTAATGTTGTGGGATTCGCATGCAAAATATAACTTAAGATACTAAAATTTCTGACGTACTTAATCTAACATAATGGGCTTTAGACACATCCGTATTTTGGAAAGTGCTATCACTACATTCTTTTGTGGGTGAATACTGTTCTATTATACTGTTCTATGTTGTGTACACACAACATAGTTTTCAGTGCTAAAAATCAAACTCAGGGTTTTAGCACTGAGATACATTCATTTTATTTTGGAACAAACTCATCAATCATTAAGTTTCCCAGGCTGAGTAAGAATGTTTTTGAAGGGGCTGGGGGTTTAGCTCAGTGGCATAAGCACCTGCCTTGCAAGCAGGTGGTCGTGAGTTTGATCCCTGGTACCGATAAAAATGAAAAAGACAAGAAAAGAAAAAAAAAGAATGTTTTTGAAGCTGATCTTCCTGCTTCAGCTCCTAAATACTGAGATTCCAAGCATGTCCTTTTATCCCCAGGCTAGTCTATATTTCTTTAATGATCTCATCTCTGAATGGGTCTTCAGGCATTTTCCAGAGCTTAGATTTTCAAAACTGTGTTGCTATAAATGAGTATTTAAGTAGCATTATGGGAAACACATGCAATAAAACTATAGTTGCATGCACCTAGGGATGGTGACACATGTCCATACTTTCAGGACTTAGGTAGTTGAGGAAAGAGGATCACAGTGAATCTGAGGCCAGCCTGGGCTACATAATGAGATCTTGTCTCAAAAAAGAAAATGCACAGTTGCATAAAACAGAGTATCTAGTTTTTCCTTTTCTGTGGAATCCCTTACACTATTCTAATATTATAGCACACTGACAGTCCTCCAATAAAACACAGGGATGTGCCTTTTAATATTTTGGAACATGAGTGAACTGTGGGTTTGTAGGACTGCTTGAAAATAAATGTAATCAAAACAGTGGTATTGATTTGCATTTTTATACATCCACATTAACTTTTTCAAATACTGTATATAACACATTTAAGTACATATAAAATCATATATAATTTGTTTGATATGAAAGTGATCTTTTAAAAAAATGTGTATATAATTAGAGGTTAGCTATATTGCATCCTCTTTCCTGAATGCCTGAATGCCATTTCATTCAACATGTATATAAATCTGAGCATGGAACAAAATTTGCAGATTTTTAAAAAATTTCAGATAGGGTCTCACTCTGTAGTTGAGATTAGTTTTGAACTTATCGTACTAGACGGCCCAATCTGGCCTGCAACTTGTGGTGATTTTTCTTCTTCAAGTTTGAGAGTCCTTGGATTACAGGTGGGCACAAATTCAATAGCTGTTTGCTTTTTGATACTATCTCAAAAATTCAGTTTTTCCATAATATGAGTACCATCTACATTTCAGGTATTGAAATATTTTAAATACTTGTCAGTTAAGATATATTCAATGTGTATATTATATATCTGTTGAGAAATGTGAGAGTAAAGAAGTTTGAACATAATCTTGTTTGTATATTCTTCTTACATTTCATATTGTGACTCTTGAGGAACATTCTTCTCTGAGTACCAATTACCTTATATGTTTCCTGAAATTTCTGTGTTTATCTTCAATTTTCTGGCCATCAGAACTCCTTCCTAAAGTGTTGAAACAGAAAAATAATGACTTACTACATATAGATCAGTAGAATTCAGCTAGATTCATGGTAAAAAGTGACTATGTCTGGAAGATGCCTTATAATTTTTCTATGTTCCCATTAAGCAAAGCACATTAGTGAGCATCAAAAAATGGTCTCTAACTGCATACAGGTGAAAATGATATTTTCCTTACCTATGATAGTCAGGTTCCTAAATGTTTCACACATCACATCTCTGTAGAGCTTCTTCTGGGAAGGATCCAGCAAAGCCCACTCCTCCCTGGTGAACTTCACAGCCACGTCCTCGAAGGTCACCGCCTCCTGCATCATCAGACATGGATTCCAGGAGGAAGAGTGAGGTTCACAGCACGAGCCAGCTCAGCTCTACTCATAAAATGCTCCCGTGGGACATTGTCCTCGTAAAATGCTCCCTGGGGCCACATTTCCCACATCTTTACTTCCTGTCTTGCTTATTAAAGTCTTATTCTCCAACCATTTGCACTTGTCATGGAAGCTGAGAAAGTTGAGGTTACACATGGAATTCAGGGTTGAAAGAACAGTAGAACAGGAACACTGTTTCACTTGCTGATTAAACTCATATTCATTTGTACAAAGTCACTAAAGCACAGGTTAAAGTCGGAGCCTACAAATCAGAATCCAAGTGGAAAAAGCAAGTAGAAAAATATGTGATGAATTACTCTAAAGGCCCAAAGAAAAATCTTTTTTTCTTCAACTTGTTATTTAGGGAATTCCTTCTTTCCTTCTCTGATTCTACTTAGCATTTTGAAATGTCAACCTGCTTTCATAGACGAAGGCTTAACTGAACATTAAGCAAAAGTTGTGAAAGATAATTTGGTAGGCTGATGAAAACAATTGCACTGTATTTTGGAGAATGTCTAAGAACTGTAAAATTGGATTAGCAAAACCATGTTATCCTATGACTCAGGGACCTGACGTGTGGCATGAGAGTGAGAAACGGGCGGCAGGCCTGATGAAAATATACACGGAATATACTGATCGCCAACACTGCAAACTTAATAGGCGCTCATAAAGAAAGGAAAAATGAAAGAAAACATGTTTTCAGAACCAAATACACCTGCATATGTGACAGCTTCTTTAAGACACAAGTTTAGCGTCCACTCTGAAGGGCACTGCTCTATCAACAGAGAATGACAAGCCGACTGCAGAGAAGGAAGAGTGTCCACAGCTCTGTGGGCTCCTGCGTACACAGCGTGGGTCCCAGTTACTGTGTTCTCAAGGGTGCAGACAAAATAACCCACACCCAAAGTTAAAGGAGGAAACAGTTAATTTGGCCGTATTTATAGTTTCCAATCCACAGGATTCAAGGTAGGGTGGCAGGGCAGAGGGGTATCGCAGGAGGAACTTACCATGAAAGGCAGAAAGCAGCAAAAGCAGCACGCAGTAAATGCCAACAACAGCCCTCTTTCTGGCTCATTTCTGATCCATGCTATTAGCACTCGCAACCCTAACCCAACCATCATACTGCAGATCCTGCCATGTCACAAAGCCCCGCCTAGGAGTGTATGAGGCTTTGTGGGGACACATAGACACAAGCCATAAAGCAATATTGATTCATTATAGAGCTCTTACTTCACAAAGTGGCATGCATCACAATATGTTTAATACGGGCAGAAACATATATTTTGTTTTCATATGCACTGGATAATAAATTGTCTCGAACAGGGAAACACAAACTTGAAAACTGAGAATTTACAGTGAAATATCTTTTGAAATTTAAAAAACATGTTTCCCTAGACGCATGAAAGTATCAGGGGTAGAGGGAGAAGTGGAAATCTATGTAAATGCTAGGACGTAAGAGTCAAGAAATGAAAAAAATGTACACAGAATATGTAAAAAGAATTTGCACATGAGTTAAAGAATGAGCACATAATAAGAGTGAATCATAGAAACAAGAAAAGGTACCACATAGAAAACAAGATCTATGACCTACCCAGAGGAAACAGGCAAAGGAAAGGGAATTGTGGAAAAACAAACAGTAGTTTGTGAAAAAAATGCAGACCACCTGGCACACTCCATCGCCACATCCTCTCCACTGCTGTATCCCAAAGTTCACATGCCACTGACTTCTCCAATTTCAGAAAATACGTAAAATTCTGTAGAAAAGTGTGATTCCTTTTACATCTATGGAGTAAATTTGCAAAGCCTTCAACCCTGAGGCCACTAGAATTGGAAAGAAACCACTCTGCCCTGACAGAAACATCACCCTGCACAGAACGTAGTGAGACAAAGAAGACAGCGAGGCAGAGGCAAGGAGAAACACTGAAACAGCACCGAGGACTTGGGTGGATTTACTTCCATTAACCGGCACGGATAGGATCACTCGAGTGTCAGGCCCTGATCTATGGGGGTCCAGGGCTTCCATGAGATAAGCAGGCGGCAAGGACTGGGGCAGAGGTCTTGCCCACGGGGGACTGGTTTATACAATGTGCACCACAGTGATCGGCCGAGCATCACAATCATCAGCCAGTGCTAAGAAACAGGAGCCACCCCTTCTGGAACAGGAACCAATAAACTGCAGTGCACTCGCTGGGGTGGGAGCCATTGTCAGCTACCCTTTCCCTATCTTGCAGTTCCCATGGCAAATCTTTGCTGGCATATTACAGCTGATTTTCTGAAACAAGGCCCAGTATTGTAGGCCCGTCCACAACATTACTCCGGCAAGGTAGTAAAGGAGTAAACCTGATCTAGGAGAGCATCCAATGTGTCTGGGACACTCATCAAATCTTGGTTACATGTTTGCTTATTCTGTTCTCTTGGGGCGACTTCTTTTTCCTGACTTTTCAGGCTCCTTGCTCTTTGTCTCCTGCTAGCTGTGATTTTTGTTAACTGACTTGGATTCTTCTTATCCGCGTTCTTGCCTTCTATGCCTCCAAGAGCTTGTTTATTATTTATTTATTTTTGCCCCAAAAGTGAAGGACAGTTGCTCCAATCTTCCTTCCTAAAAAATGACCAATGAGGATGCGAATCTGATATTTACCTCATGAGACTAATCAGATGTTCACTCATGAACAACAGACAATAGCAACAAATCCACAGAAGACAGGAAAACATGACTCAGGAAGGAATCAAATCTATTAGACAAGTTCTTCAGATAGATCTGAAAATAAGCAGTGAATAATAAAGAAGCAATTAGCCAACTATCTTAGTTATGCAAGAATAGACAATAGGCAACCAGAGACAAAGAATCTAAAGGCAACAATACAATATCTGTAGAAATCACAAGTAAATATTTAGACATTAAAATGGCAATACAGAAATTATCCAAGTGTGGAGAATACATGAAATGGGCCTACTGCCACAGATTCATTGTATAATCAAAAACTAAGTTCAAACTGACAACAGTAACAATGCAGATTGTTAGAACCAATGGTCAGAACACGAATGACACGGATTGGGCACAGGATACAAAGCACTGTGACTATCCTGAGGTGCAAGACTGAATCTGAAACATAGCACATTTCAAAGAGAGGTTTAGATTAGTTGTAAATACATAAGACTAACACCAGGAACTCAGACGCAACAGGATGCAATCCTACTGAACATCTTGGGAGGCAAAACAGAACCACATAAAAGGCAATGGAAAGAAAGAGGGAGAAAAAACCCGGAAAGATGGTACAGTATTAGAAACACAACAAAGAAAACAATAGACACTTAAATAAAAAAACCTCTATATTCAAATATGCTTACAAATATGACAGCATTTTGAAGTAATCTGCCTGTTTTACTACCTAAAATGTATAAATGTTTCAAAGATTGAGGCTTCAAATTACAAATACATTAAAGGTTCATTTGAATGTGAAATTATAAAGGATTTTCCAAATGTAACAAATGTAAGTCACATAAATGAAAATAAAGATGAGCTGGAATAGTATTTATAAAGATAAAGTAGTTTACAATTGATTCAGATGCAGACCCAAGTGTCACTCTTGTGTACCTTCCCGTCTCCCCACAGTTTTAGAGAATCCTGGCTTCCTCCATCAATAGCATCAGCAATCCTCTTCTTATTTGCATTCCTTTCTGATTTTATGATAGGCTATTTTGTACGATTTTCTCTTCTTTCTGAGAAAAAGAAACAATGCCATTTCTTGTGTATTTTTATCTTAAAAACAGAACAAAAACTGTAAGTTCTTCAGAATGAAACAGTTCACATATTTGTGGCTATAGTATCTTACTTGCCATGAGTCAGGAGGCAAATTTTTGTTTATACCACAATAAAATGTTACTAACAAACTACAGTCAGAAAGACACAGACTGGCGACTGCTGCTGAGGGAGGGCAGAAAACTCACAGCTTCTAAAGTAAGAGGCACAGTCCTGCTGGGGCACGTTCGCAGTTTCTGCAGTCTGAAAAACACAGGTGTTTTCTCACTCCTCTCTGTTTCTAAACAGAGTATTTCATGTTTGGTAATAACGAGGAGGTTTGCTTTCACCCACGGTCTTAGGCCAAGGTGTGAAGTTAAATGTGCTAATGGCTCTCTTGCTACCAGAGCCGGGAGCCCACAACACGGTACATCTCACGGAGTCTGAGGGGCGGCTAGTGCCCTCCTCTCACGCTGTGCCTGTGCCACCGTTCACTGAAAGAGAGCCCCAAAAATTATCAAGTTGCAATTGGATCCTAAGTAACCCAACTTCCTGAATTTACCGAAAATCAATTACTCCAGGCCACTGCGAATTACTTTCATCATGCCTTTTAAATGAAACAATCCACATTCAACCATAATTGTTTCCAAATTACTCATTAATCACCACCTTTACACATACACAAGAGTTATGAAGACATAAGTCTACATAAAAACTGGTACATGAAGGGCCGGAGATTTAGCTCAGTAGCGTAAGTGCCTACCTAGCAGGCAGAAGGTTATGAGTTTGATCCCCAGCACCAAAAAAAAAAAAAAAGAAAAAAAAGGTACATGAATGTTTATACTTCTGGTGGTTAAGTTAGATAAAGATTCATATCCAGTTTGAAAGGGCCAGTCCCAAAGCAGAGCCATTTCTGAGACGAGGTGAATTACGATGTCGTGGAGGCCCGAGCTGAGAGAAAACAGCCCCACGGTGCAGGGAGGAGGGCAGGCCCAGAGGCCAAGCTGAGCAAGCGCTCATGGCTGTGCCCCGACTCTTACACACCTTAGGGAAGCTGAAGACGTAACAAGTAGATGGATGCGGACGCTCCTGATCCTAACCCTGCTCCTACCCTGTCAGCACGTGTCTCCGTTCTTTCACTGTACTAACAGTTACACAGAAACCACAGCTAATGATTCCTGCAGCGGAATCCTTACTTCAGTATTAGGTAAATATTAGCTACACAATGACGCTTGTAACACAATAGATTGAATTTCACTTGACCAGAGGTGACCTTCACCACAGCTTACTGCACAGAACTTCCTAGACGATGCGATTTTACTGTGCAAAAAAATGCCTAAACACTCAGGTGCAACCCACGTTCACACTCCCTTCT